CCTACTAACTCAAATATTTTTTTTCATTTCTTAATTGCTTTTCCAAAGTGTAAATCTATTACACCAATTTTTTCAGTTAGATGCTTCTTGAGGCATTAAGCCATATCCTGTATTTGTTTTTTATTTAATATTAAATCTAATCATATTTGAGAACATAGCAAATGCAGAAGAATTACTTGTAAAGACATTTTATTCTGGCTTGGAAAAGTCTCTGCTTTCCTTTAATCATGGAGTAAAATAAAATTTAGCAATCTGCACAGCCTAGAAACACAATGTTTGTTTCCTAGAAAGTTGAGGTGAGCCAGTATTTGCAGACAAGGTCATTAAACAAATCTGTCTGCAAAGAAACTTCTGAGGCTGCATGGCAAGCTGCTGACCCAGCCTTTGCAAGTGAGAGGACAAGTTGCCCCTTTCAATGTTTCAACTTCTTATTCACATATTTTTAATATCTGGAACAATTTTTCTAAAAAAAATCGCAGCAGTATATTTATTTTCTAACTTTAGGTATGCTCTTCAAGCAAGCAAACTAACCTTTGTAGAATTAAAACACCAAACACCCTTACACTGATAGCAGGATCATTTTCATTATAATTTCAATGAGATTTGGGATGAACAAACACAAGGCAAAAGGAAATGGACATCTGTAAGCTTTGAGATGTATGAAGGACTACATCATATCTCAATCTCCATTACCTTCCTTTCTCCCTTCCTTCTTTCCTTTCTTCTTTAAGATATCTTGATTTCCTTCCTTCCTTCTATCCATCCCAAGGTTCCTCCATCTGTCCCTCCCTCACCCCCCCTTTATCTATCACGCTGGGAACACCTGGGCCTTATATATTGAAGGCAAATTTCTCTACCTCTGAGGAATACCACCAAACTTTCTGGTTTTCTCAATCTTTTTTTCCCCCTTATTGCTGAGGGAGTGGTAAACTGCACTGTGCTTGCTTTAGGAACCCAGGTTTATGCTTTTTCAAATATAAATTACCACCACAAAGTGCCCTTAACACACCAGCACAGCCAACTAGAACTCCTGCATCCTTTGCCTATGCATCATACCCACAATCTAAATCTAAGCATGTTTATGATTTGGTTCCATTTCTTTGCTTCTCCCCCAAACCCCTTTTATTCCACTTATATGTGGAACACCATCCACATGAGACAAAACTCTAGAAGGATTTATCCTTATCCTCTTTAGTTACTTCACTCACATTACCCCCTCAAATTCTATCCATGTGTTCACAAATGACAAAGTAGCATCTTGTTTACAGGTGAGTAGTATTATTTTGTGTATCTATAGTAAATCTACTTTATACAATCATCCATGCCTAGGAACATACAGTATTTTCAAAGCTCTGTTTTTTTTCTCTTTCTCTGTGCATGGTTTTATATGTATTTTTTAAACAAATACAAAAATATGGCATATAAGTATAACTTTTCATCTATACATATCAATTTGTCTATACATAAACATATATACAAGCACATAGAGATTTCCATATTCAAATATTTTATGTTGAAATATCTAACAGAAAGCTATGCGGTCATTCTGCTTATGTAAATTTGTAAATCTAAAACCTAAGGGAGTTTGGAAATAAATATTTGAATATAATCGAAATAATCTAATAATATGAAAATGTATTACAAACAAAGGTAACAGTTGACAGATAATGATGGATGCAGATGTGGTTATCAATACAAATGGCATTTCCCAAGGATTATATTGACATTTTCGTATTTTCGTATTAGAAATATCTACCACGTATTTCTAAGCTCGGTTTCTTCGCAATATCATCTGATACTCTGATCAAAATATTCCTCTAACAACTATGGATTCCTTTATTTTATTGTTTTATTTTAACCCATCATAATTATCAAAGTTGAAAGCATAAATTGCATTGTTATTCAATCATTGATTTACACCTCTCCAGTTAGAATATAAACTCAAAAAGACAAACATGTTCTGTCAAATTCATTACAGAGCATTATGACTATGAACAAGTAGCATGACTAATAAATATCTCTGCAATTAACAGACAGAAATATGCCTGTTTGACAGTATTACATATTCACATGCACACCTATATACTGGCATTGCAGAATCAGATGAATTAATAGATTACAACTTTTTTTATGTAATGTTTTAGCTAAGGTGGGATAAAAAAACAGCCCATAGACTTTACCATCTGTCTAGGGCCAGGCCTATAAAGGAACTGATACATATACTTCTTGTTGGCTGCCTAAGGCCAGTCTACCTGTATTGGATTGCTCATAAATGCTGTCTAAATATAACCCAGATTCAATTCCTTCACCTACCTCTTAGAGAGCCCAGCAAGCTAACGAGAGTATTCCGCCCACATGGCAAGCTCCCCGTGGCATATTCAATATGCCAAAAAACAGTAACAACAAGTCTCACAAAGCCTGGCAAGCTACTGAGAGTATCTCGCCTGCACGGCAGAGCCTGGCAAGCTCCCGTGACGTATTCGATATGCCAAACACAGTAACAACAAAGTCGCCAATGGAGACGTTACTGGGTCCTTGAGCAAATCGATGATCAACGGGAGGGCCTTTACATTACTTTACTTACTGGTGCCTGCTTGAGCAAATCGATGAACAACTGGAGGACAGTGCTACAGTGCTACCCCTGGCAGAAAAAAAGCTTTTCCACTCCCATCTTTATTGGCAAAAGAGAAGCACACCAATAAATCATTCCCCAGGACTTACTTTTATTTTAATCAAGTGATTACCAAAGATATGTTTTTCAAATAGGGCCAGAGAGATCATCTGAGTAAAGCATTTGTGCCGTGGCTGGGTTCAGTCCCAAGCACCACATTTAATCCCCCAAACACCACCAGGAGAGAGCCCTAAGCAGAGTCGGGAGTAATCCTTGAGCGTCACCCCAAAATGAAAGTTTTTTTCATATAAATGTGATGTATGTTATTTATTTTGGCTGTGTATTCTACACACCTAACAAGTAGCATGTTGAGATTAAAAATAATTCATTCAATCTGCAATACATTATCGTTGCTGCTACTGCCATTATTGAATGCTTTCGGTTTTATTCATTTTTGTAACCTTAGAATAAAAATAGTCAAGTCACAGACAAATATGATGGCTCACACAAAGAATGCAATCAATAATAAAACAGAATTTTAAATAAAAATTAAGCTAAATAAATTAAATGTGATGAAAATTTAATAGAAGACGTTCTTTTTGCGATAGCTCAAATATTTATGGTAGGTTCTGCCATGATCACAGAACAAAAAGAATTCAGTTTAAGCTGTAAGGTAATCTGCAAACATGTGAAAAGCAATTCCTGAGTACAGAATCAGAAGTAAGCCCTAAGCACTGGTTGTGTGCTATAAAAATAAAGTAATAGTACCAGAGATATAGTACGGTAGGTAAGGTGCTTTCCAGGACTGATTCCTCAGTATAGGGCAGGAGTAACCCCTGAGCATTGCCAGGTGAGGCCCCAATCTCTCCACTCCCAAAATAAAGCAAGGAAGCAAGAGAGGAGGAAATTATTTTAAAAGAGAGTATTTCTAGTAACAGACATTTACAGAAGAACCAATAGAGAAAAAAATGTCTGATGCAAACGTTGAAGAAACTGAAGCACCACAAATATATCCAATGTGGAGTCATAACATAAATTAGAAATTACTTGCAAACTACATTGCAAAAATATTAAAATGAATATACATAGAGAAATTAAATGATTCTAACATATCCAGAGATTATGTCAATTAATTTGTGAAAAAATTTGAAGCATATCACCTATCTAGGAAACAAAATGATTGCCTCTCAGATAGTTAATTTTCCTCATTATTTCTTCGAAATGTACTCAAAGAAACAAGATGGAAGAGAACTGGCAGGAAAACAATTACGTTTTAGAAATATAGTCGAAAGTAACCAAGAGTTAATCAAGGAGCTAGTAGAGCTATTAGAACACTTATTGCATCTGATCTACCAGTTTTGAATTCCCAATATTGCCTTTGTCCTTTAAGCCCCTCCGGGAATGATCCCTAAGATCAGTGTCAGTAAAAGCCCTAGCAACACCCAGGTGTGACCCCAAAAGGAAAAACAAAATAAGATAAACAGAGAAAAGTGAAACAGATCATATAACCTACAGTAAGAATAATGAAGTGGATGTGATTTATGATAACAAAGAAGAAAAAAAAAAGATAAAAATCAACAAAATTAAAAAAAACAAATAAATGTTTGACTACGTTGTTTCCATAATAAATTATTAAACCAGAGAAGTCTGATCCAGTTAAATGATACTCTCATACCATATCTACCCTCTGTAAGTAGCTCTAAAAGATCCTCCAAGCATAAACACTTAAAGCATTGCTTTAATTTTTCTGTTATCATATTCAACACAAAGAAGAATGGACTCAATTGATATGATGTGAAATGTAGTTCAGGTGTGAAATAAACAATCTCAAACAAAGAAAGGAACATATTTCTTAGCTTATTTTTCTTTAGGTCAGAAGAGCTGTTTAATATTAAAATGGTTCAAAAATAAAATAAATTCTCCCAGAATTGCAGATAAGCATTTGAAATAAATTCAAGCATTCATGAGTACAAAAGTGAAACATATCATACAGCTACAATAAGAGAATAATAATGTAGAGGTTATTCATGATAACTGATGGAAGAAAAAAAGATGAACTTCGACCTTTAAAAAACAAAACCTAGATAAAACACAGCATAAGTAAAACTAGTAGCAATGCACACAAAGGATTAAAAGTGGATAAAATCACAGAATATTGTGTTCTGTGTAAAACGTCGCTAATGGGTTTTTATAAAAACAGAGGAAACATGAAAAAAATGCAACAGAATAAAATCAAAAAGTGAGAATTCCAGGAAAAAAGTAAGAATGGTAAATAGATGACTGTAAATTTATCGATGTGTGTGAGAGGTAAGCTGTATATGTTAAATATATTATGGTTAAATATGCTATGGTAAGTTCAATTAAGTTAGTAAGTTGCATATGTTAGTACCTTTGCTTTATCTCTCATTGATCCTTTGCCCAGGATGGACATTTTAGCGCCAGTTTCTTCTTGTAGCCTCTTCAAGGAGTTTCCTCTTGGTCCAAGCAATTTTCCCACAAAGTTGAACTAGAAAACAAAACCAAAAGAATCTTGGCTTTAAAAAGAGAGAAAAATGATTGTTTGAGCTAAGAACATAAGGAGTGTTTTGGGTTCTTCAAGTTTTTTTTTTTATTTTTGGGTCACACCTGGCAATGCTCAGGGATGACTCTTGGTTCTGCACTCAGAAATCATTTCTGGCAGAGCTCAGGGGACCATATAGGATGCTGGGAATTGAACCCGGGTCCACCACGTGCAAGGCAAATGTCCTACTTGCTGTGGTATCGCTCTAGCCCCTCTTCAACTTTTAAGGCTGAAAGTTATACCATGCATGTGACAGCCACAGTACCCGCATAAAAAGCAAAAAAAGGTATTTGATTATTACTTCTGTCAATCATTTTATTATTTTATTATTTTTAAATTTTACTTAAGTCAACAAGCTTTGCAACTCTAGTACAATAGTTTCTTCGTTGCAGTGTTCCAACCCCAGCATCCACAAGAATGACCCACTTTCCTTCACCACTGTCTCAGGGTCCCTGTGAAATTTCCCCCACAAAATTTATTTTATGTATTTTTTGATTCAGAGACACAAGTGGCTGTACTCAGGGCTCACTCCAGGCTTGCAGGTCAAATAGAGTGCCATGCATAGAACCAGACCAGACTGCATACAATCCAAGTACCTTCTAAACAATCTCTCCAACCCCTACATTTTAAAGTTATAACATATGATCTATTTTTAATGAGATGCTTTTTCCTTAGGAATTTTAAAATCAATACTATTGTGACTACATATAATTTATTGAGATAGCTAAATTAATTTGAATGAAGCACTATACAAATCTTTAGACTTTTTCTATCCATGATCCATACTACTGAGGATACCAGGACCACCCAGTGGTACTAGAAGACACTAAGGATGTTCTCACGGTGCGTGGTAGCCTCCGAGGCTACACCTGGTGATTGTCCTGGGGCCAGCACACTCCTATCCTAATATAATTGTTTTTAAATAATGAGTGTATCCATAATACTTTATTGTATCTTTCCTGAATATAAGGAAAAATAAGAACCAATTTTACTTCAAACTGCTATTCTCTACGTAAGTGATAATAATGAGTTAATAAAATATATAAATATATAAGGAAATGTGCAATATTTGCAATGCACTACATATAAATCCTATGAACAAAACAATGTATCTAAGTGGAAAAATCAAGGAGGGGAGCTACTTAATTGATTTATTCATCCAAAAATATCAGTAAAACACAGTGAGGTAAAATCAATTATTAGAGTTGGAAGTCTGCTTCTAAAAGTCATTACTGAATCAAATGGTCACATAAGCATTTGGTGAATCATTTTGAAAATAACACCAAGGAGTGATCCCTGATCTCATTAGAAGGACTGAGTGGTTAATCACAACCAGGTGTGACCCCCATCCCTTCAAAAATAAAAATAAAAATACAGAGATTTTAGGTTGCAGTACAAACTAAGTTCAGAGTAGAAACAATAAAGATAAACAGCACCAGATAAAATGCCTTCTAAATTGGTATTTTTCTATTATGAAATCCATATTTCCATATTAAGAAATGCATATACCATCCTTAATAGTGAGAAACTAAGCGATTTCCATCTAAGTACAGAATGGAGACTGATGTCTAGTCTCTGCGGCTCTATTCAATATAGTGCTAGACTATGAATTGTCGAGCATATCAACAAATAAGCCAATGAAACATTCTGATATTCAGGAAGACCAACTTAGTCATTTGACTTTTCAACATAAGTGCCTAAGCAATAAAATCTGAAATGCAAATTCTTATCTAAGACATCAGGTTGAAATGATTGTCTATTTTTTAAAAGGTTTCCAAGCAAAAATAATACACTCTTTAAATATTTATACAAGTCTTATTTTTTGAGGGGCATAACAGAAAATTTACAAAAGCAAAACTTACAGATTCTTTAAGAAAAGATACAAAACTAGCTCTCCAAATTTAGGCTACAAAGTCATAAGCAAAGATCATTAAAATTTATATTGATATAAAACACTTAGAAATTGAATAGACAGGTCACAAAGTGAGAATGTAAAAATCAGCACTCATTAAAAAAGTATAGAGGCTAGAATACATAAAGATCTACATCAAGTCAACAATGTACTCAGGAGACATTATTACTAAACAACACAAACACACTCAGCAGACAGTTCCAAAAAAAGATCTAACATTAAGAATAAAGAACCATGTGTTGCGTCACTGTTGGCAGTTAAAAATATTACAACTTTCAGAACTCTGGAGTGACAGCACAGCAGGTGAGCACAGTAGGTAGGGTGCTTGCCTTGCACAAAGTTGACTTTTGAGTCGACTCTAGTCCCACTCGTTCAATTTCGTTTTATTTTCCAGTGGGACAGTGCGTTAATTTTCAGTATTCGGAATATTTTGCCCATATTCCCATATTTCCTCAATGTGTTTAATGGCTATAGTTTTGGGATTGACATCAAAGTGTTTTTTTTTTAATCTGTTTTAGGGCTGGAGCGATAGCACAGTGGGTAGGGCGTTCGCCTTACACACGGCCAACATGGCCGACCCGAGTTCGATTCCTCCGCCCCTCTCAGAGAGCCCGGCAAGCTACCGAGAGTATTCGATATGCCAGACACAGTAACAACAAAGTCTCCAATGGAGACGTTACTGGGCCCGCTCGAGCAAATCGACGATCAACGGGAGGGCCTTTACCTTTTACCTTACCTGTTTTAATTAACTACTGGGGATTGCGTGAGACAAAAATCTAGTTTAACTTTTCAACTAATATAATTACTTTTCACAGTCCATTTGTTGAAGAAATTTTTTTGCTCCACTCCATGCACTCTGTGCCTTTGTTGTAGATGTACCTGTGAGGGGACGTCTCTGTGCCATCAATTCTGTGAGTCTGTCTTTATTCCAGAATCACACAGTTTTGGTGATTATAGCTTTGTGGTATAGACTAAACTACAATACAATGAGGAAATGCAATGTTTTGACATTATTATTATTATTATTATTACTATTATTGGCAGAGCCTGGCAAGCTATCCGTGATGTATTCAATATGCCAAACACAGTAACAAGTGTCACAATGCAGACATTACTGGGCCTGCTCAACCAAATCGATGAACAACGGGAGGACCGTGACCGTGATTATTGTTATTATTATTATTATTATTATTATTATTATAGCTATACTGGGAGTTTTATGGTTCTGCACAAATTTTAGCAGAATTTCTTTTGTGTTTATAAAGAACTTCATATCATATTTAATGAAAATTTACTAAACCAGTATTTTAAGTTGTAGGGTCATTTTAATGATACTGATTCTGCAAATCCAAGAATAAGGGTTGTACTTCAATTACTTAGCGTCTTCTTATATTTCATTCAGTAGTAATTTAAGTTTCCACCAAAAAGATCTTTTACCTTTTTATTTGTAAAATCACCAAGCATAATCTCTGAGTGTGCATCCAGGCATAAGACCTGGTCATAGACAGCTGTTCACAGACGCCAAGAAAAAAAAATTGTATTGATACTGTAAGAGAGACATCAAAATAAATTTAATAATTTAATTATCCACAAGCTTTGCCTTTTGAACTCGAACATATGTTATCTAGCAGAAAGATGGCATTGTATAATCAGACATTAATCTTGTAAACAGATGGAAAATATATTGTATGAGTTATGATATTAGAGTAGCATTTCAGGCAAGCAGAACTTGGTAATGTGTGCATTTTTCACAATGACAAATGTACAAGATATCATTTGCTTTTATGAACAAGTATTAATTTATTGTAGTCTAATTTATTTATGCAATTTTATCTTTTATATCTGATGTTTTTGGAGTCAAGACTGAGGAATGGCTTAGAAGAACTTTCAGCAAAGCAAATTGGATATTTGTTTGATATTCTTAGAGAATTCAGCAATGATTACAAAACTAATTAAATACATTTGATGTTGTGCTTCATTATTGAAAATTAGTTTTAACATAAACTCTGAAAAGAGTCAATATAAAAAATTGTTCTGCAGTCAGAACAGAGGAATTAAATGAACACTGATAGGTAACCCTCCCCTAAAAATACTGAATAACCAGCATTTGTGAGCAGAAAGACTACATATGTGACACAAAACAAACGGAAATAAAGTCATAAAAATCAAATTCCTAGCCACTATTTTTTTGGGATTTTAATGCTGTGAAACTAAAAATCACATAGAAAGAAAATTGAAATAGAAAACTCAAATACATGAAAAGTAAACAACATGTACCTGAATAACTATTGGATCAATGTGGAAACCAAGGGGAAGTGGAAAATTTCCTAGAAACAAACAGGAATAAAAATATGAACTAAGAGAACATATGGTCCTCAGGAAAAGAAAAGAAGATTCTTAGCGATGCAGGGTACATCGGAAAACAGATTTTTAAAATCCCAGATTAAAAAAAAAATTAAGCTCATACCTAAAGTAAGCAGCAAAAGAACAGATGAAACCTAAAATAAGTCAGAGGAATAAATTAGCTAAGTTAGAAGAGAAATAAATGAAATAGGCTTCACAAAGATAAGAATCAATGAAAGAAAGTGTGGTTCTTCAAAAGTGAACTAAATTTACAACACTTAACTAAGCTCACTAACAAAAGAAAGGGAGAGAAACCTGAAAAAATAACATCAGAAGAAAAAGGGGAAATATAATGATCGTAGATAAATATAAAGCATCAACAGACTAAAACAAACTTCATAAATCCACTATTTAAGATCTGGAAGAAGTACAAGATTCTTAGGTACCTCCAGCAATCCAAGGTCGGATCAGAAGAAATTTAAAAAAATGTGAATAAAGAAATTATAAGCAATAAAACTAAATATTCAGAAGTTACTGAGTTTAAATATGCCATCAAGGTGATTCATAAATTCTTGCAAAGTTTTAAAAATGTAATTGAGGTATAGGGAATTCTCCAAATTTTCTGAGTCCAGACTTTGTACTGACACCAAAAGAAGATATAGTGATTAAAAAGACAAAAACAAAAATAAAA